ACCAGTGTGTGAATGGGTGGATGACTGGATGTAAAGCGCTATATAAATACAGGACATTTACCATTTAAAAGGAGGGAGACAGGAGGGGTATTTAAGGCCATTACATTAATATTTAATTCTTAAATTAAACTAAAAAAAACTATTTACGGTCAAAGATGAAGAGACCTGGTTCCACTCTTATTCTGAGTCAGTCTTCACTTTAGTCACAGGAAACAGAGAAAACCCAACAATCACATGTCCTTTTATGAGCAAGCACTTTGAAAACAGCGGGGAGGAAAACGCCCTTTAAAACAGGAAGAAACACCCAGCACACCCAGGCTCAGGGAGGGGGGGGGCGCCGACCGCATCGTGACTACATCAGCAGTCACAGTAGTGCTGATGGGAGAATCTGTATTATAATTTGATGACTGAAGACACAAAGAGCAGTGAACACAGTTACAACAATCGGAGTTTTTGCTATTTGTTGTTATCACAGTGTGACGATGACGTCAGTCCACTCTTATTCTCAAGTATCAGTGTTTGGATCAGAGCTACTGGTTGGCTGCAGGCTGTATGTCCTCATCACAGTATATGTATAAACTATCACTCACAGCTTATCATGTGTGAGAAATACTGTTGTTAAGTGAAGTTTGTTTTAATCTAAACTGTGAGCCAAACAAGTTGTCATCAGTGCATACGACTTTCTGTAGGTTTCATTCCCGTCCACACTCGTACATTTATACAGCGTCACTGAGGACTGATGTGTTTCCACATCACAATTGTTGGTTTAACCAGTGGCTTCCTTTGGTGTTTTAAAAATGCAGGTAAAATAAGCACTGAATAGGTTCTGGATAAATAAAGACGAGGAGCCTCTCAGGTTAAAAACCGCTGGCTTGCAGGTTTCTGGCAGTGAAAATCGTGACTAAAGAGATTATTTTGGTTGTTGATGTGATTATAGTGAAAGATCTGTGTCTAATGAATGTGTTGATGTAACTGCATGTTTTATGTTCCTCACTGTCTTCATTTACAGCATGCAGTGCCACTATCCACAACCGATGTCGAGATACTTTGCC